AAGAAGAGCATGACACTCATGGACTTGATTTTCGAGGCCCATCCTAAGAAGCCCATGGTTTCTCTTCGTATTTTTCTTTTACGGAGATTTTTTTTTTCTACCCGATATTAATAACTATATTGAATTTAAATTAATTTAAAATCAAATCAAGTTAGACTTCATTTGAAGGAAACTTTCCCCAACTATTTCTTTATTTACAGAACTCAAAGTCAAGACCTTAAATAAAAGAAACCAAATTTTTTCTAGTCAGACCCAAAGATCATTTAAGGAGATTTTTATTCTTATACCAAAGGTGACGTTTTTTAACTTTATTTTTGTCTTTTACCACTGTGAACTGACTTTAAAGGTAACGATATAGCAACATTTTTTATATAATTTTTACATATTATTTAATAAATAAATACATTTAATATCTTTAATTGATCAGTAAAATTGTATTAAAATGTAGGATAAAAAAGTATTGAGATTTGAGGGCCAAGAAAAGAATAGAAGCCCTGCAAAACATAAATGAGTATCTTCAAATAAAAAGTATAAAACATCTTAAGATAACAAAAATAGGCAAAACTTCAAATTTTACATCCTGATTTCTGAGGCAAAAGCAGCATTTGGCAAAATGTGTGTTGAGTTTGGGAAAACAAAAATTTCTTAGGGAACTACAGCCTGAGCTGCTGAAGCCTATATTGGTCATTAGCAAGGCTGGTCTGACTGTAATGTAACTAATCCTCTTCCTTGGGTGGGTAGATAGATGGCAACGACCATATCTGGTGGTGGGGTCTTCGGTCTTTGCTTACCCTTGGGCTCACATAGAACTATGATCCTCTGACAATGGCAAGAAAAAAAAAAAAAAAGAAAGAGTAAAATTAATTGATAAACAATAAGGTATTTGGTTCTTTTGCTCTAAAACAACAAACAACCCAGAGCTAATTAAATTTAAACCTATCTGCCTAAGAAGCACATGTGGGATGGCAGGCTGTATCAATATAGTCATTAACAGGTTGAGCAGATGATATCATGTAACCAATTAACCATCCTCAAAACTAAATTGATTTTGCAGGCTGACCCCTGAGCGTCCCATTAATGATAACCTGCATGAGGTGACATGACATACACACACAACTTCTTTCTTCAGGAGCAGAAACTTCTATTCATCATGTGCCTGCATGAGTTATTCATACCTCACATCCCTTCTTCCCCACTCTCCATAACAAGTCCTATAGACAGGAAAGAAATACTAATCACATAAACAAAAAAGAGATTGTACTCAATATGCCAAAAATTCAGGATGCTGAAAATAGGTACTGCAAAGTACTACTTACTAACATTAATCAAGATTGAAAACGAGATTGGTAATTTAGTAACAAATGCTCAAAAAATAATTATCTTGCTGTTCATTTTACTGATCCTGATTTGCTACTTCAGTTTCATAAATGATCACTCTCAACCACTTTAACTAATTAAGGAAAATATTTGCATTTCCTTAACTCAAACCAGCAGCCATACCCTCTCCCAATCCATCAACAACTCTAAAAATAACTTACTGAAAATGACTACCCTGATCAGGTAAATATACAACCACTGTTGTTTTGCAAACATCCTGACAAGAACATTGAGACCCTGGCTCACACAAAAATCACCGAGCAAATGCAAACTCACACAAACAAGCATGAAGAAAATTTCAAAATGAAAGTTACAATCAACTTATGAAACATAAGCACCGAAACATGTCACTAAAATGCTGAAGGTCCAGAACTTCTTTGGTGTTGACTCTACAGGATATATGGAGGGGTAAACACGACACAGAGAGATGTAGGAGCATCCGAACTCCAGGAACTATAGAATCAAGAGTTCAAAGAGACTAACAAGACTCCAAATGTTCAATATAAGCATTGTTGCGGATCCTCAAAACCCATTAATATTGGGAAAGGGAAGGAGCAAATCAATGCTAACAAGAATGAAAAATACAATCTTTTTATGTTTGCATTGGATAATACACAAGAAATAAAGAAAAGATAATACCCTACTACAAGTTCGAGTATTAAATCACAATAAATTATCAGCTAACCAAAAAGCTCATACACATATTTGACAGATTCATACACTGGTAAGGTAAAGTATGAAAGATACGGAAGATAAACAAGCAAACCAACCATGGTAGACAAAATATCACTCCAGTTCTGGTTAATCACAGAATCAATTAATGGAAAATTTTTAGCCATGGTTATCCCTCCTAAACCAACGACGTAGGAGTGAAAAACAGAAAAAAGAAAAGTGGGTTCATTTTAAACATTTTCCTTTTTTTCTCAAAATTTTCCCCGTTTCATTAAATCTTTCCCACACTTTCTTGTCAACCAAACAACTCTGATTACGATCTCAGTCTGCAGAGCCGTAACCCCAATTTCAACGCCAGAATATTCATCCTCCGAAAGCTCTCTGGTTCATACTTCATTCAACTCCGCGAAGAATACTTCATCAGCTAAAAACTGTGACAATCGCACAAAAAGGAAAAATCAAAATTAAAAGTTTTTTATAAGAAAAAAGGAACGATATTTGCCGAATAGGGATGGTGCTCTGTTTGGTTACCAAGAAAACAAAGGAAGAAAGGAAAATTAAATAGAGTAAAATTCGAACTAAAATATACGTTCAGCAAAATCAAAAAGCACATGATGAAATTACCTTCCATTTTTCTGCTCATTTAAGCGGCCATGGCTGCCGATCGGAGAAGATTCCGCTGGAATGTGGAAAAATCGTAGAAACCATGAGGAATGGAAATGATCGGACGATCACGGCGAGAATTGACGGTTGTGATTGAAGCCCGGATTTGTCAATACAAGTGCCATGAGGGTTATTTCTGTACAGAAAACCTGCAGAGACTCTAGAGTAAACTTCTTGGAATCATTAATGGAAGGGTAAGTACTCCATTAAAGCTCTTTCTCGACGAAAAAAATTACAGTTAATAAAAGATTCTCTGTAAAACATTATGGTATTTTTTATTTTTTTTAACTTCTCCGATCCGATAATTTAATTTAATTTAATTACAATACATTAAATTAATCTGAAATTAAATTAATCTGAAATTAAGTCACTTTAAATTTTAGATAAAATTCTCTTAACTTTTGTTCTTCTATGCATAAGATTTGAAGGTGGTATCTTATTTAAAAAAAACTTAACTCCTTCCATTTAGGCCATGGTAAAACATTATGGTACTAGTAAGTTGGAATTTCATTCAATAATCTACCACATTTATTTATTCATTTGGAATCCTACTTTATGATTTAGATAACATTAAAATGTAAAATAAAATTATTACATATTTAAAAATTTTTCATCCAATAATTAAGTAAAAATTTATTTACTAACTAAATTTTATATGTTATATTTATAAAAAAAATTTAATTTTTTATTTTTAATGATTAAAATTTATTTATATTTATTTTAGATAAATTATTT